TCAACGAGTCGTCAGGATCTGTCGAGTTTAGGATTGTCTTGGCAGCAAATGTGGCAGTTTTGTGAAGATAGATTCGAAGTTTCTAGTTTGAAAAAAAGATTCTAGTTTGAAAAAAAAGAGAACTATAGATATCAGTACGTAAAAAGAGCGGAAATGTCCGCTCTGACGAAAACCAGAATATTCACCAATTGAATCAAGAAATGCATATTCGTCATCATTACATGGTCTCCTTGGACAGCGTTCGCCCCCTCTCCTCCCCTCCCCACAAAAATAAGATCACTGGAAATTAAAATTTCATCCGACCGAACCGAAAAACCCGAAAAATAATCTTTTTGTAAACAACCTGAAATTTGTAAAAATTTTTAGCTTTTTTTCAACTATTTCTTCCAGTCGAATTTCGACAGTAAACACGGCAGTTTCTCAGAGGAATTTTACTGAATCATTCTTTGAAACTAAAGAAATCTTTTTTTTGCCGGATAATTGCATGCTTTATGAGATTTTGTTCAAAAAACCCATTGCAATCTAAAATTTCATCCAACTGAACCGCAAATTTTGGGATTTTTTTTGTTTTTTCGAAAGTTCAAAATTTTTTTCTGGTCATTTGAACTTTGACTGAATCTCTTTCGGCGAAACATTGCTCAAGTTTAAGTTTTTTTCGCATATGACGCGTCATTTTCTCGAAAAAACATTACGTCCAACGTTAAGTTGATTGATGAAAGAACAGCGTTCGTGACCACACTCACCTGATATAATCATTGATCTGATCGTGTTCATCTGAGTAGGTTCAATCCAAATAGCATGTTTAAACGAGCCATAGTCTGTGAAGCCAAGGTTACCACAACAAAAATGAGGACATATACATCTTAAAAAAAGCTGGATTTTCCCAACGCAGACCATTTTGCATGAGTGCATGATCGGACGATTGTTGTTATACGAGGGTTTTTCGTTGTAACAAATTTCAACTATTTATTGTACATACTTTTTTGATGAAGGAAAACCTTTTGAACTCATTGGCGTGAAGAAATCATTCGGTTGTCGCGTAAACCTACGCATACAAGTAGCTTGCAATTTGCAGTATTTTATCATTACCATACCACCCGTGATTTTCAATTGACTGAAGCACTTCAAAGAGTCCACTTCTCCGGAAAGTTCTCAGAGCGATGCCCGAAGTACGAGCGTATTTTCATAACACTCCGAAGTGCGTATTTCATAGAACATAAAACAGCCTTTAAGGTTTCTCTGTTCACGAGGTGGGAAATTAACCACATTCAGTTCATGATGCTTTAACGCTTGTACTGGCATTGGTTTTCTCCTCGTCTCTCGCTTTCTACCACTTTATCGATTGTATGTTTGCTGAATGGTGTCTACAGCTTCTACCGCACGCGTGCTAAATTATTCGTTGGCATTTTTGTCCCACACCAGTAGAGGACTATAGTCACTAGACCTTTTGGTAAGTCGTCGAATTGTGCAAATGCAAGCAGAAATAATTACTGAAGCTGATTACACTACAAGATCGGAAGGAAGTTTTTGTGGTGCGGCGACGTGGGGTGTTTTGTGTGGAATAACGACTTCTAATGACGATGTTGATGTCGAAATAGAAATAATTAACAGAAAATGAAAAGTCCAACTCTTTCATCAATATATCCAATTGATGCAGTGGTTCCACAATCTTAGAACAGTATAAAAAATTCACGAATCACGTGCGAATTACAAACTGAGTAAAATTCCCAATAATGTGAGGGTCAAATACCCATCCGTAGCATTGAAGCGATCCATTGTAGCGCTGCAAAAATTATCAGTTGAAATTTGTATTCGATTCGAATTTACGGCTCAGAAAAAAAAGCGTTGAACTTTATTTGGTGAAGCTAAAAGATTAAACAAATATCTCAATTAATTAACGTACTCGTTTATTTACTTGTGTTTTGTTGAAGTGTTTATTAGCTTTGATATTTTAATCATTGACTGAACGACAGGAATGTAGAATCAAAACAGTAATGTAATTTGTTATAATCACACTGCTTTACTGATTTCATTCAACGGGACAGTAATATTGTTAGCATCAATAAAACGTGTATTATTACTGACGCAGTTGATCATTTCTATTAATCAACAGTTAAGTCATGTTCCAGCGATATTGAAAGATCACATTGAATAGGTGAATGTGTGCACAGTTTTTGATTGATTGATGATAGTATGTGACAATAATGGCACTGGCAATAATAACAATACTCAAACCCAATGTTTCCTTAAAATATTTATTTATTTATTTATTTATTTATCTATTTATTTATTTATTTATTTATTTATTTATTTATTCACTTATTTACTAGCTAAGAATTTCATGTATGTCTAAAGAGGAGTTCACTGTTTAGCTTAAGCTGGGTGAATCCAGCCGAGTTTGGTCCTTCACTCAGCTTCGGGTAACACTTTCTGCGGCGAGCGGTATTCGAAGTGGTGAATCATTACTTATGATGTGACGTTCATAAGAAGAGACTGTTCATAGGAACATCATATCGTATGGCAGTTGTTGCTATTATCATATTGTGTAACTAAAGCTGGCGTTTAATCTTGAGATGTGATGTGTCGATATTGATTAAATTGCTCTAACATTAGCGAACCTTCTTACTGAAAATAGCGCATCAATTCATAACTGCTAGATGATTTAGGATGTGTCAAAAGTTTGCTTGAAGATTTAAGATGTTTTTAAATGGTTGTTTGAAAAGAAAGTAGACGGGAACGTTGAAAGGGACAAAGGTGACACTTTGAATGTTCGTCACTTTGAATGCACTATTCATCTGCCGTTTATTTCCCTTTCACTTTTATCTTACGACTGCAATTTTATCCTTTTATCTCTATACATATTGACCTATGTGTTGCGTTGTAAATCACCACATTGTCACGAGCAACAGTTCATTACAACTTCAGACGTGATGAGTGCACGCTTGAATCGTTTTTTTTTTCGTAATCTTCATTTTCTTGATCGTCAACTTTTGAATTATCCCCAAAACCGAGAAGTTTATTTTGACATCAATCATATGATTCTAAACGTATGAAAAGTCAAAGAATAACGTTCACAATTTGAAGAAATGCTCAAAATCGGGTCATGCTCTCGAATTTATTACCACCTTTCGATCTGCCATGTGTATAAATATCTCTAACTATTCACAAATGTGTCATCTTAATTAGTGTTGTTTAAGTGAGCAAGAGTTGTTCTTTGTGAATTTATTTCTTCAAGGAATTGTTCTTTGTATTATTCAATTTATTTTTCCCCCAAAAATTATTTTAATTCAATTTTGATTGATCCACATGATATTTGCGATTGGTTTGTTTTCATTTTCAGTGAATCAGGTTCACCCATTCGTTCGTTTACATTATTTTTCGTTCACCCATCCATGCCAACTTCTTTTCATGTTATACATATTTAATGCGTCACTCTTCGAACTAGAATTATGGTTGTAATAGAACCGTTATTGAAATGTATACAAACAGCTAAATATCCATATGCATTTGCTTAGTTGTGTGATGTCATTTTGTTGTTGGTGAAAAATAGTCTATACGGGTGTTTTTAAGTGAAAGCTTTTAAAAATCTTAAGTTTATTCCGCATGGGGCACGGTAAAATGAAAATATGTTTAAAAGAGCAGCCTGGAGCTACTCTCCAAATATGACCACTTTTGGACATGCAGGTAATGGAAACGAGTTATTTAAGTAGATGGCAAGGTGAGTGTGCCTTACAGTGGTCATTTGAATATGATTTGATTGTAATTCGGTGCTTTGACTTTGAGATCTGGATAAATGACTCCTATTTTTCTTACCGCTAAATTAATCAACTTGCTACTATTGGAATTGTAAGCTTCAATTTTTTTGTTCATTTAGTGAAGTTCATTTATGACTTATTAACTTTTTATTGATATCAATATTTACTCACAATTCATTCGTGACTAGTAGTAATATCAAGTATGATTGTAATATGTGCTGTTCATAATTATTTTTGTTAATTAATCGGTCATGTTAATTATCAGATCACCCAAACACGAATCGCACATCTTCAATCAATCAACAATTCAAATTCACATTCCATTCCATTCTGTTTTCTCACCACTATTCTGATTCATTCATTCATTTCTCTTTTCAATCGTCCGGTCGTTTAGCCATCCAAAATTAATTCTCAACCAATTCGAGAACGTTCTCAACCGTTTCTCACAAATATTGTCGTCTATCATTATCATATTAAAATAGTTGGAATAATATCACGAATATTCATCTTGAATGGCCTCATTACAACAGCAACAATCCGTTGATGATTATCACATATGGCGAAGTGATTATGGTCAAATAATTCATGTACCTTACCGTTATAGTCGTGTTTGGGAGATCGAAAAACTCTGGAATCCAGAATTCATACATTGGTTCTTCAATAAGGTTAGTCTATGTTTCATTCATTCATTTTGTTTTGCTCTTTTCATTCCTTTCTCGAATTCACTTTTGCTCGATATCCCTTTTATCTCTTTTATATCTTCGTTGTTGTTTTTGCAGAAAAATGCAATTAATAAATGAATAAATGACGATCAATTAAACCCAACAACTGATATGACCATTATGCTACAGTAGATCTTGAAATTATTATTCCGTTAGACTATTCGGCGATAATAGCGTTTTGATTAAAATTGATTCTGCACCCAATTGAATTGATTGATGTCCTCTCGTTCAGTGCTTTTCTGGTATTTATATGCTATATCAGCAAAAACGTATCGACGAGTGTTTATATATGAAAGTGAAAGTAATCTTTGAGGGTCATCTGCGCGAAATGCCAAAAATCACGTGAATGCTGATAAATGAATAGAGTATATCCTAAATGTATATTCCACTTAATGTTTTTTCTTACTCTATCCGTAATTTTTTAATAAATTTCCCAAATTCAGAGACAGTCTTCTTTATCTCTTCAATTCAGGGTTACCCTTCAATCATTCTCACTGACAATTTTATCATTATGGAATAGAAATTATTCCAAAAAGCAAACAATTTTAATCTTTCGTATCCTCATAGATACTACTCTACCATAGTTTTTATTGTCATTAATGAACTGTGAACTAATATATTATTCTATCTTCACGCTGATCGTAATCTATAATCAAATCTTAAATTCGTTTTTAATGTCCTTTCCATCAACGAACATTTGTTGGTTTGCCCATTCTTAAATATAGACCATTATTAATATTACCATGAAATTGAAAATGTTTGCAGCACGTTACAATATGAATATTTTTATAATGGCGAGATCATTCACTAATGTAATATTGGCATTTCATAACGACCGTTCTTATGAATTGTGTTCAGTTCGTTCGTGGAAGCACAAAAGTTTTCGATTTATGACTGTTCCGTGCCGATGTTCATTTTCTACCTCTGCTCTTTTTCCCATAAACGTTTTCACACTCTCATACCACTCTTACACACGTTTTGATTTCAAGATGATTATTTAGTTATCGCATCAATGATAAAATTAAAACGGTTAGCAGTAATAGTAATAACATTTGTATTATGTCCTTTCATATCCTGATCTTTCGGTTTTGGATCCATTCAGGTAACAGAGGTTCGGTTTTGTGAATCGTAGCTGTTCGCAGCAAGTTTGCCAGACTGTTCGATGAGAATCCCACTCATCTGCAACCTATCAACCGATTCCCCAACCAAACACCCAAATGGAAAACAACTTTTAAGAAAAATCACCTTCAGTTTCGATGTTGTCACACGTTTATGTGCAGCCTTTTTGCTTATAAAGAGTAAGCTAAGAATAAGCAAACTAATTGCAGTAAATCATAATTTTGACGAAACCAAACGATACATCTTTTAAAAGCTTATAGGCTCATCTATCTAATGAACGTCCTGATATTTTTCATTCGATTCGTCATTTTGAAATATAGTATCATTGTTTGGTATCACTATACTCGTGACTGACAGCTTCTGCATCTGAGACAATCCATTCTCCCACCTCACTTTCATTCACCAAATTATGCATCGTCATACTGACATAGGACGTATTTTGCTATACAGTTCTCTTGATTATCAATTGTAAGATTTATTTTCACCCGCTACGTAAGGTTCTGGCATGTAAACTGCTTCTTAATCTAACTGTACATTGAATAAGTATCATGAGGCAAATCGATCCATCCATCAATTTTCATCACTAATCTCCGTTATCAGAGAGCATCACTGATTCACATAATTCGATAGTGTTACTTCCTGTAAACTCTGTTGCCTTGATCCATAAAGGGCATTAAAGCAGTTACGTTTGTCTGAATAGAAATCACCTCGAGTTAACCCGTTTCGGGATGGGCACAGCAGATATCCATTTTAAATAGAATATCCATTTTACCGCAGATTCATTTCTGACAGTTTTTGTTCGAACTGATGTGCAAATTTTTTGTGAAACCATTCCTTGAAAACTGCAGTCTTCATCCGCACGTTGTTTTGACACGAACAAACATCAGTCAAATCATTAATGTTGATATTTTGATAACATTTTCATTTCTTTGCGAATATCATGTGACCGTTCGGACATAAGAGGATAGGTTGTATCATAAAACAGTTTTCTTTCTCTGAAAAATTCTAACCAGTCGTTAATTTTGATGAATTCTTTAAGCCTGACCAATACTGCACCATTTTTCAGACAAGAAAAATCAGTTTTAATACTTAAAAATCTCCGAGTTAATGCTCATCCATCGAATACTTAAGTCTTCTTATTAATCAGCGAAGTAAGAGTAGAACTGAAGAATAAGACTCGTCGTAAAAGCTCTGAATGTTAGCAAATAACGCAATAAGTTCTGACCGCAAACTATATTAATAATATATCGCTGAATAGATTTCCGACGGAATAAAAGAAGGAACAAATCAGGATTAAGTCGTAAGATGTCTTCTACTGCTAAACGAATGGAAAAGGGAACAAAAAAGATATGCAAATTTAAAGCTTTAATTTTTCGTACGCAAACGATAAAATATTTCATCGAATCAAAGATTCGTTTTTGACGTACTGCAGTATGTCAGATTTCTTTCATATTCGACTATAAGATACCCATTGTCTCGTATTGGGTGCATATTTTAACGCGTCCTTTAACAACGATATAATGTTTGAACAGCAATGAATAATAAGTTCATTATGACCTATATCATCAATAAAACGAACTTCTTTATAGGAAAACAAATAAACCCACAATCAGGTCAATTGTTAACGCAAAACTGAAAGTTGTTTTCCATTGCACGGACATAAACCATCAAACCGGTTCTATACCTTACATATGATGATAAAAGTGCACAGAAACAATTTTAATGAGGAAACCGAAACGACAAATTTGAACTTCGGATTAGAAAGTTTTCCTCCGAAAACACAAAGAATGGTGATAATGAAACAAGTAATAGGCAGTATAGTAATAATTTTGTACAGCGATTAGTATGCCCTGTTCTGATGTCCCCGTTGTTCATTCATCAATGAATAAATAAATACGTGCAAATAACTGATTACATTCATTGAAAGTACCAATCAATTTAATGAGTAAAAGGATGTTATTTTATAGTATTGGAGTTGTTCAATCTATATAGCGATACTATACGCAGTAATTGTGCATGCGCTACAACGGTATCAACAATCACGTAAAGCATGGGTTCTACGTCATTCGTTATGCATATGGAACGCATCACTTGCTTTTTTTAGTATTGTTGCCACTTTCAGGTAGTTATGTTTCACAATTCAGTTCGCTCTGTGCACATTTTGTTCATCCCATAAGAACCAGTGTATAAAATTTAATACTTTGATCCATATGTTATAAATGTGTGCGTAGTGCAGATTGATGATAAATGCAGATTAAGTGAAAGGCGAACAGAGTTTATAATCAATTATTTTTTGGTTGGAGTGCCGTGTTTAACGACCTATGAGGCGGCACTGTAAATGGATGGTCTATTTCTGAACTTTTGTCTTATATAAGGCAGTGCAACGGACTAAAAGGCGCGTCAGAAGAATAAACCTTTCGCCACAATGCACTTATAAACCTAAACGCAGCGCCGTTTACCACAAAAAATTGCTCTGTGGTCAGTAACCAGAATTAATCCATATATAAGGCGTTCCAGGTTATAAGGTAGACTGTCGTTTTTTGAGAAAATTTAAGACTTTTAAGTGCGCCTTATAGGTCGGTAAATATGGTAATTAAGCGTTCGTTGGTGAGTGGTTCACATTGAATATAGTTAACTCTGATAAATAGCATTCATCATAACAAGAGTGGATCAAATCAATGAACGATACTTAATTAAGTTTATTTTTTCAGATTTGGTGAGGAATTTATGTACACCTTTCTGAATCGGCCCATATTGCACTCATTATGTTATTCAATAAACCCAACAAGTCCTGCATCATTTTGGGCATGCGCATTCGCGTTATCAAAAATCGCTGAATTAGGCGATACGTTCTTTGTGGTTATGAGGAAAAAACCACTTATTTTTTTGCACTGGTATCATCATGCTGTGGTTTTGGTTTACAGCTGGAATTCAGGTGAATATTTTCTTGAAAAATAATCTCAAACATTTTGATAAGAACGGTGATAAATGTACAGTTCAGCACTGCTAATGCTTTAACATATCGTATGAATTGGCACTCAATTTCATCCGAAGGTCTGTCAAACGGCAACTGATAAGCAAATAAATTTGGATTAAAATCAACCTTCAGTTTTAAGTTCAAATGGTTCTGAGTGGTACTTAAACTGTTGAAATAGCGTCGTCTTCCAAATAACCAAATCAGTGGATATTACTATACCTTACTGAAATAGACCATCAGAGCATTCCCATCCCCACCCTCTCACCTTCAAAAAAACTTCACAATTTGTTCCATATCCAAAATTTTAAAAAAATTACAATTTTGCCAAACCTTTCTGGTCATTCAAAATATTAAATGCAAATCATCCTTCCAGCCGTTGAATTAACCGCAGCCGGTCGTTGGTTTATATTTATGAATTTTTTCGTTCATTCAATAATGTACACGTACTATTCATTCACCTCGTACGGTATACGTCCACCACGTGTGTTATCGATGTGTATCACTGCCTTACAAACCTCACAAATGCTTATTGGTGTGGCCATTTCAATTACCGTTCTTAATCTCAAACTCAATGGCACTGTATGTATTGTACTTAATTTCATTAAAATTATTATTACTGCATTAAATAGCGTTATTTTAGTCTGCATAACTAAATGCTTATTGATATTTTGCTCGTATTTCCTCGTTTAATTCAATATTCCTTATTCTGATCTAGGGTTCTTTGAGTTTAAACGGTTTTTTACAGTGAATAATTGATTGACTTACAAAAATATTCAGTTGTGTCAACAATCAATGGACAATCTAGCGTTATGTTTCGCCATCTATGCATCATTCGCGGTACTTTTCATGCGGTTCTTTTATGACGCTTACATGAGACCGAGAAAAGCTGCTGCTGCTCAACAAGCAATAATGACTCCAAATAAAGAATCAGTCAACAAGAAGGATGAATAAGTGCTTGGTGAATAATGAATAACGATCAGCAGTCTTAGCATTTAATTGCATAGCTGCAACATTGACTTTCGTACGCTTGAATTCTATTTGATTTTTAATCATTCACTAATGCCATATTATTGTTGCTATTAATAAATCAGGCATGATCAATTTGTTGCTCATTATGTCTACTTACAAAACATTTTGTTGGTTATCACTTATTGTGAATGTTCCAACTTTATTAACTATGAATGTGATATTGTCATTGGTTCAGATGAAAACCTTTCGTGATAATATCTTTTAATGAAGACCAACGCCTTTTCACAAACATTCACACTTTTCCTTGCATCTATCTCAAATAAATGAAAAATCCACTATCATCACCATCTCTCTGTTTCCCTCTCACACGTGCTCTTTGTTCTTCATATTTCTTGTGCCCCCTATCTTCTGTTTCTTTTTCATTTTGTTTATTTACTGTTTCCTCTACCAGTCGAATCCTTGATCTATTTCATTTCTTTTGATCCATTTGCATTGCAAACAAGTAAATTCGGCATTGTTGACTGTCGGCCGCTAAGTTTTGCTGCATTTAGTTATTTTATTGTATTTGAAATGAAAAAAATTTGAAATATTGTAGAAAATTTTGAAAAAATATTGTTGAAACGTGTGATATTATTATATGTGAAATATTGTTATTATTATTTTTAAATCCTCAACGCATTTTAAGAACTTTCAAAAGGAAACTTTGTGTGCTGCTTAAATACATCTAAAACAAAGTTCAGCCTTTGACAACAACCATAATCATGCGTAACATCAAACAAGAATGGAAGAGAGTGTAAACAATGAAATAAGTCATTAAAGTTGAAAACAAGAATGAACTGCAAAACCAATTTTGAATGAAATGCTCACTCGAATTAAATTAAATTAGCAAAATATACTTAATTATTATAAAAAGTGTAATTGTGGAAAGTGCTCCTCTAAAAACAATCCAATTCTTCATCATTATTTACATAGTCCGATAATGTAATTCGCGATACCAAATCAGAAAGAGATGCGTTGCTATTATCATAGCCGTCGATTTGATCGGAAGAATTGGATTTTGATTGGGAATTCGGAACGTTTAGTAGTTCTCGTCTGGATTTCGCAAACGAATTGTTATCGTCATCATTCTGCAACAACTTCATCATTATTCACCAATGCGCCAAAATAATTATTATCATTACACATTTATTACCGTCAATATTATTACTGAAAATATTTTCTCATTCTTACCAATCTGATGGAACTGAATCACTAAAAAATTGAAACAAACCATGGAACAGCTTAAAATTTGTCGTACGTTATCGCCAACTGTGCCCCCAAGCTGGATCAGCTTACCAGCATAACAGATAGCCCGTTCACGAACACATAAATCCGAATCGGTGAGCAACTCTCCAACAATCGTTTCCTCATTAGACGATGGTGTCTTACCTGCTTCAATGCGCGCTGACAGTATGTCGATTGCTGACAATCTCCAAAAAGAAATGACCACTGATTAACAATGATTCAAAAAATATCATATTTGCAATAAAATAATGCAATAAAAGCTATAACAATGTGTAACAAAACAACTTTCTGTCACCTCGTTTGCTGTCGTTCGTCCTTAAGTGCCAACCGATGCAACTGTTTTTCAGTCGCATGTAAAGCTAAACATCGGATCACTTTCTCTCGTAATATTTCGTTGTCATCATGTAACAGTAACATCAGTTTTGTTAATAAGAAATCACCTGAAATTTCTTAAATTCATGTTTACTAAATAATGCTTGTTTGATTCAATATTAGGGAATAACATGAAAAAAAGTGAAACGAAAGGAAAAATAAATTTCCAACTGGAAATAAAGTTAGTTCGAAAAATGATAAAAACTGACAATTCTCGTCACCAATACACTGCAGAATATATTCGAAAATTGCGAAAGACCAATCGACAATTGTTAAATCTGGAATAATCGATGATGTTGATGCTGATGACGACGATAACCTATCGAATATGTCACACACGATTGATGAGCATCGAAGTTTGACCCAAGCGGGACATGCGTCTGTCAGATATTTGAATAGTGAATGATTCCTCTCAAATCAGAAAACAAAGTGAAGAAAGAATTAATTGGTTTTTAAAAATCACCAATGTTGCCAGTTTCAAAAATTCTGCTTACTTATTGGTTGTTAATTTCACTGAAAATGTTCAAGTGTCTCGTCTCACGCTTTGAATGACATCTAATTGCATTTGATAATCATCATAAAACATCTTCATAACTATACGATTATGCACTATGCAAACAAATCAACTTGTTACCTCCAATCAATAACACCTAGAAACTGAATTGTGAAAAAACCAAAAGTGAATTCACACCTCAAAACGCTCCTTCATTACTTTGTACATTACATCAAATTGTTCGACTGTAAATGGTGCACATATTTTCAGGAATTGCTTTATATGTTCCGCTTGGCACATTTTCAAACGATCCAGTCTTCTAATCCATTTTTCAACACCTTCTTTTTGAGCCTTTAATTAAATTTTCACATATGGTCAATTTTCACATTACTTTAGAATATCAAACTAAACAAGCATTCTACATAAATGCTATATTTATGAACTGAATCACAATGAATCAACCAAAATTCCGAAGAAAAACCGAAAAAATGCTTACTTTTTCAGGAAGATACTTATAACATACTGTGAAGTGATCCAAACGTGATTCTGGATCCACCAATAACGAATGAATAAGTTCCGTTATTTCATTGCTTCAAATCGACTTATTTACAATCATTATTATATTTACGTCGTATTTCCTTAATAAGTGACCCAAGGAGATGCAATTGTTCCTAACCTTTTGAAAAACTGTTCTATTCAAAGCAGAAAATATAGAAATTTCCATTTATTCACGCTAATAGCAGTTGGGCTGGTTCAAATCAGTTTTGAGAACCGTTATTTCAGTATATTTCTGGTGAAAGCCAAAGGTTTGTGCATAAAGTGTATGCGTAAATAAGTAAAATGTCTATTGAAGAATCTATTCAAAAGATATGGATTTTGCATTTGGGTGGGGGCTGGATGATAGAGGATTGAACTTATGCAGAAGAGAAAGAAGAAGTATGGTACATTCCATAGGGAGGTAATAAGTTCCAGTAATCAGTGATATTCATGAATCAATAAGAAAAGATAGTATTATAATGAATCAACAATATCAAAAAATTCACTTTTCAATCAGCATTTTCATAGTCGTCAATCGCAACTTGTTGTTCAACCATTGTGTATTATCATGAAGACACGAAAATTTTTGTTCGCGAGTCCTGAATAAAGCAATTATACTCAAATAGAATCAGACACTGTAGAAACCGCAAAATACATAATTTAATTATATTAAAACACAGCTACACTTCATACACATTAAAAAATCTCTTGAGTGAACGACTGAAAACACAAATTATATTAAAACACAACAACATTCATATTAAAGCACGGCAACAAATCATATAACGGAAATACACATGAAATTCTTATCAAAATAATCAATAAATAGATAGCTACAAAAAAAAGTAAAGACAAGAAAATGTAAATGAATATCTCATACATCACTGCAGCTAGAAGTTCGCAAAAATCCAATGAGAACATTTCTCGCTTTGGTGCTGATTCAATTATGTGATTAGCACCATCAGGTGATACCTGCTCGATCTGCTGAATAACCAGGTTGGATATCCTTGAAAATTCAACATTCAGTCGAGCATTAACTACTGATATGGCTGAACGTAACCCCAATTCATCACCTGATTCAATAGCGCCAGGCGATAATTCAACTATGCCTAAATCGGATAGAGTAAACAAATTCAAAGCCCATTTCGTTCTGATAACAGTTCTTTACATAATTGCACTGAATAAAAATAAGGATGCTTTTTATTTGCAAAATTAAACATAATACCAATCGTGAAACTGGTCGCCACTTTCGATAACCAATTCAATCAGATCAGGGATGAGCTTCGATCCAGTAGCAATATCACTGCTGATCAAAGCGCTCAAAAAGTGACTGGCATTTTTACGCGCAAATCCAGTATTCGTATTCTTATGTAGCGTTTCTATGCTCCATTTGATTACATCTGAAATGGAAAATGGAATTAAATAAAAATTGGGGAATCAAAGTGTATAACAACTGTAGCCACAATGATGAGAGAAACTAACAGAAAATGGTGAAAATAGAGAATAAACAAACGAATAAATAAATACCATCTCTCCACGGATACTTTTGCTGAGCATTATATTCGAATATTTCAGCCATATCGAAAATTATACTCAAGTATATGATGTTTGATGAACGATGAAGTTCATTGACATACTGCGTAGTGAATGGTATTATTTTATTTCTCAAAATATTTCCATCTATATTCACCGCTTTTGTTGCCTAGATAGAATCGATTTTAATCAGTTAATATATCAATCCTTCACAACTATTTAAAAAACAATTTACATTTATTACAGTGATTGTTTCGATGATGAACTTAATGTAACCAGAAAATTGAGTGGTAGTTACAAACAGCATGAAAAATGAGTGTGATAGAAGAGAAACGAATTACAAACTTTACACAGAAAGGCTATCCTCAAATATGCTGCAATTATTGTGAGGCTGTCTTGATCGTCAAGAGAATTAAGAATTACTTGGAGTGACTCATTATCTGAAAGCATCAAGTTCATTGCTGCATCCAGACTGATCATTTTCATTCCACCCTCTTCGCAAAGATGGTGACCCAGGAGGTGAACACGACAGACGGGCGATTTTAGCATATTTTTTAGCAATACGCTGATCGATTCTTTATTTAGCATAAATAATAAAAGTCATTCTTTTTAGCATAACTTTAACAGAATCGTCATTCTTTCGGAAAGCCACATTTAAAGGCCTAGAAAGACATAGGCCTCCCACCCTTGACACAAAGAAATTTAAAGCAAACAAGAAGCCAAGGTGAACTCTGACTCATATGAAGATTGCTAACACATCGATCTACATCGACATCCCGAACACGCTCTTCAAATGTCTTTGCTGTATTCGCTGAAGCATCTAATAACACTCTAATACTTTCATTAACACTTGTTGCTATCATGTTTCTGAAATTCATTTCATTTGTTCATCCATTTGAACCTCTTATTAAATTATTATTAATATTTTGACTACTGCCATCGACATATCTTTCAATATTTCTGCAATAAATCCGTAACAAATGAACGACCTTACGATTTTTTATCATCCCTAGCATACCTCATCTAAAGATTACACGGACTGGATTTTCTCTATTGGCCCTACGGCTTCGAAGAGAATGGACCTTGTACGTCACGCCGCCTTAACAAACCCTTAAACAACACAACGGTGCTAGAACGTTCCCAGACAAAACATACAGTAATGGAAATAATTTGGATGTCCGAATTTCCTCCACATTTAATCGTACTTCTAAGAGCAGGTCTAGCTAGGTCTGAGCCTGAACCCCGCACAGGAGACTTCATCGCATTCACATGAACTACTCGCCTTCACCGTTTTCCTCTTTTTTATGCTCGGAGTAGGCAATTCGCCAATGTTTGGTGGCACTTCTTCGAGAGCATTTAAGTTTCATTCGCAGAACATCGAACATTAAGAAACAGTTTATTGGTATTTAATTTTCAGTCGTCAAAGGTGCTCTAAACAATGTATTTCTATGAATTTACATTATTTTCTAATCGTACTTTGTAGATGTAATTTGACGTTCTAAAAAAGTGACAGTATTAAGATCAAAATATATCTTAATGAGCGAAATTTTCTTATGAAATGGATGTGTGCATTGACAGAAATTTTTAAAACATTCATATGTAATGATAAGACAATCATTTTAGTCAACAAGGGAGGAGGTAATTCGTGAGGTGGACTAGGACCTCCGATCACTTTCACAGAGGGCAGGTGTTCCGACCGACCGAGGTGACAAGGCAATTCGGTCCCCTTTATGAATGATCTGTTCACTTGTTTATCAATATGGACCAAAAGATAGATAGTCAAGACACCCCTCCAATCGGCTTAAAACATTATATGTTAACGATTTTTAGGTACTATTCACAAAACAACCACTCAAAATTGATGATTTTAAAGCTTGTCTCGTGATTATCTCATAAGAAAATTAGATATGACCCTTGTGACAAGTTAAACAGAGACTTGTATGCTTGTGTTATGAACTAATATCTTTGAAGATTAAACTGAAAGCGATCGAAAATGCCACCTCGAGTTCGTGTCGATCGACTCAAACCAATCTACACGGCTGCGAAAGCATTGAATTTTGGTTGGCGTTTAAAGTCTTACCCGAATATACCTGCTCATAATGGCGTAACAGACTATATCTCCCAAGCACATCGCATAACACTACGTTTTTGCAAACAAAGTGAAAGTAGTGTTGGTATGAGAAATTTTATTCAAAATTCCGCCAAGAAATTCGCCGAACAAAATCCATCAATCGTCGTCTATATTACACCAATAAGGTATTCTTTTTCATTTTTTATTTTCGTCATCATTCATTTCAACTTTTCCACTCCAAATATTTTCTGCACCAAATGAAGCAGGTTCATTCAGTTCAAGGCGCACAGATTTTCGAGTACTTTTACAGATAACGGGCAGCACCACGTGCAGACAGCCGAAGCCCATGCGTAGCCTAAGCGGTGGGCTCAGTTATGAGAGAGAAGATGAGTTTTATTTGGTGTTGACAAATGTGTGTGCGCGTGATTCCGCCCGTTATCCGTAAAAGTGCCAATTTTCGAACACTACCAAATGATGCCCGGCTAGATGCGCCTGGTTGCAGTCGAGTTGTTCAACGTACGATTCATCATCTTCATAAGGATATCACTGTTTCAGAGTGAGACTTAAGCAAGCAACGCTAAAACCCACTAATTTAAACACCCAAAATTTTGTTGAATATAAATTATCACCAAGTTATTGTACAAACTGGAACGAATATAAATCTTAACAGAAATTCCACGCCAACGTTACGTGCCGAATATGGGAATGGTCGAATGGCACATGTGAATGCAACGAATTTTAGCGCCGAACAAATAGCGCAACATATGAATCTACTACGGACACGTAGTGGAGAGCCAATAGTGGAAATGGAATCGCGACAAACAGCCGTCGTTGATTCAGTTCAAGGTGTATGGAATCCAATGTTAAATGTTTCAAGCGAGCAAAATATTTGCGAATTACCAAGCAAAAAGTTCTCCATTCATAGGTCTTACAAACTAAGTGCAACTGATTATATCCAGTCAATTAGAAATGAGTAAAAGTGATCAGCGATTATTTAAAAAAATTTTTTTCTTTGTTCCGACAACTTTCGCATATTGAAATCATGAATCTTCGCATATTGAAATGCTAATCTTGAAAATGAGCATACGCCGAAGATAAAACCCTTCGATAAGTCAAGATATTTTTGATAAAGCCTAAGTAGTTGATTGTAAAAAGAAATCTTTTTTCGTATTTGCTGAGCTGCGAAACTCATTACGTATCAAATACTCGAATATGTTGGAACATTTCGGCTTTATAATCCAGTTATTGGGTGATTTTTTCCTTCACACTTTGCATATGTAATGGCTAATCGAGAAATTTATGTGCGAGGGACAACATGTATTTGAATATCTTTGTACATTAAAAACCGATCTGAAATATAGAGATAAATCTTTTTCTTTTCATGTGGTTTTTTTCACTTGTGAATTCGGGCAAAACTCCATAAGCAACCAGCGTTATTGTTACTATGAATCTGTCTAAACGAATCCACAGGGTGAAAGAAAAACATTCACACAAAGAATCAAAAAAAAAGATTTGAAAATTAAATACAAAAGTATTGGATGACGAAAATTCGTATAGCACTCATTAATTACAGTCTAACAATTATGAATAAAACAACTTTTTTACGAGTGAGCATAAATAAAAATTTTACATAATTTGGTTAGTGTTAGTAATATCGATAATGTTGGCAATAATCAATTTAACAATGAAATTAATAAAGCACAAAATCAACTGTAACAAAGAGAAAGCAAATGAGTTTTTCTTTAAATTCATCACTGATACGTGAGGTTGTTGTTAGTGTTGTATGTGAGTATATAAACAAATAAGTCGCGATTATTGACGACAACATGAAAACATCGCGTATTTCGATATGGGATAATATATGGACAAATGCTTCCCTGCCAATACCAAAAAAAAATCGAGTGTCTAATTAACTTAACCACAATGAATTCAGCCTCCTTCTGATACAGTTTTCTTATTGCATATTTTTCGTTTATGAACCAAATTTTTTAAACAATCCCTACTGCTCAATCAGAGAAACAACAATAAATATAATGTAAATTGAATTTGACATAAAAAATTCTTAGGAAAATTCAATCGAAACATTTGATTCGAGATGTGCACATGAGGAAATACTCAACTCACAGAAAATGATAATAATAACTTAAGCAAATGAGAACAAGAGAAGTCCATTAAAAGCACTTTTGCCATTAACGGTAAAAGGTGGACGAAATAGACAGAAACGAGAAAGTTACAAAACCAAAACAAAATTGAACATCACGAAACAATTAATGCGATATATATGCATCAGTATTCGAACAGTGGTGTAAATGCAGCTTGGGTTAATTTCATAATGATGAATAATCATTACGCGCTCGCTATGCATAATTTATCAACTGTACAGCATCGAACTAACAATTCAAATGAAGTGTTCTAATAACTTACGCTTATTACTTGTAACGGTCAGATTCACTTCAGCATTACAGTGAGCATGATTGCAATGATCATCTAAAACGCATTCACCATAGCGTAAAGAAGCGCGGCGAAAACTGATTTTGGCGTAATACAGAAGCGTTTCACCGCTGTGCGAATGATTCATTAGTTGTTGCATTCCAATGTTCGGTGGGTTGTGGTTGAGGGTGGGGCCAGTTGGTCGTGGATGTTGTAGTCGTTGTGGATGTCGTCTGCCTTCTGCTGCCACTCAACGGTAACAAGCCGTCAGCCGTGAAGCCGGATGCTGTCGCCCAATCTCCAGCTGCCGTTCCACCACTACTAACCCCACCGCCTGTGCCAATTGCTGTCGGATGTTCAAATTCAGTGCCATGAACTGACGTGGCATGTTGAAATAACTGTAAAAAATCAAAAAGTGTTGCAATTATTTCACACATAATCATACACACTTCCGAAGACACTCAACACCTTCTTTGTAAATGCGTATTCCCATTCTGAGATTTGAACATTCAGTAGATTGATGGAAGTTGAATAAACCGAAAAGGGCATCAAAATTGCAATAGGATACCTCAAAACTGCGAGTTCTCAACAGAAATTCACTGCCGAAGGTACATCTAATACCGAAACGGCACCTACTCAATGATCATCGTTTGATCTTCACTGAAGAACAACCACAAAAGCAATTTGTCACAGCTATTGGCCCCGCTCTTAATTAGTGCCTCTAATTGCAAGCTTCAAGAGAAGTAATATAATGAATGAGTGAATAACCTGCGATCCAGCCGCATGCCAAGCATCATCGTTTGGTGGTATAAGAATATGTGTGGCAACAATGTACTCGAATTGTTCAGAATATGGATTAACGAATTTACTCGCCGATATTGAGCATAATGCCATATCACGCTGTGTACGTATACGAACTGATATATGCGCTGGCTGATCCTAAAAACTCAGCAAATGAAATGGAGCATTAGATGATGAATCGTTTCATTGCATTGCAAGCGGCATCTAAATTCGCCACTGATATACTTCACGCTTACTTCGTGCAACGATGCAATAATAATTGCTTGCGGTTTACCGGTAATTGATTGATTAGATGCAAGCAATTATGCACACTACCCACCTGCATTATGTGCAAAAACATCTCATGAAGGGCTTGTTCATCTGATGGATGCACAATATCCCACCAGTATCGACCTAGCAATTGCTCAGTTGGTATGGATAGTATTGAAACTGCTTTGTGCTCAACAAAGGTGATCTGTAATAGGCAATTATGATTTAAAGCTCTATTACACAAATAACAATCAACATTTCATTTTCTATTCAACGATAGTCTTTTGTACGATTTCTATGCGTTTCATAATTAAATACTGTATGATATCGAAAACTTAAGCCAAACCTTTCCATCTTCTGCCAAACGCAACGAAAATTGAGGTGGTGATCCTAAATCGGTTGTAACTGGCATACTGGCCACTTGTAATCGACCAATTGCCACCAAGCAACTTGACTGTGGTGCATTTAAACCACCAGGTGGTGAATTTTTCACATAACCAGTACAGTGCACAACCACATAATGATGACCGTTATGAATGAATAACGGTCGACGATTGCACAGCCTATGCAGCTGCTCTAATGGACCCAAACGCATTCTTAATTTCACTTTTATTGATGTTGCACGTGATAGCAGAAAAGAATAAATGAGTTAAGAAACAAATAAAGACAACTGGATGTGGTATTTATAATGGCAATAGCAATAACCTGCAGATAAATCCACGTCGACAACTCATATGCACCCGCACCGATCCTTGTTCCTTTTTAACAGTTCCTGTTTTCAAGTCTAAAACCCGATTCAATGTAGCATCACTGCCACACAACTGATCACGGACTTTCTCCATATCATCTGGATGAATCAATTCGTAGATTGGGCGATGTAACCAATCCTCCTTAACAAACAAAATTAATTATTACTATGAAAAATCTTATTACCACATAATGGATGTTACAGGCTATTTTACTTTATCTTTATTCTCGAGGTGAACCAAATCCCAATATCCATATTACTACGACTAAGTTGAATTGAAATAATTTTTGAATGAATAAGCAATGATTAAACGAATGGATTTAAAGCATTTACCTGACGCATATTCAAAACAGGTACGATCGAATCGGCAACATATAAAATACGCCCCGTATCACAACAAACAACAAATAAAAATCCATTTGCTGCTTCCAGAATTAAATGTTTCAATTCTTGGTCAGTTAAAAACGATGGTTTATAAGATGCTTCTGCGCCATTCTGTGATGTGCCACGGATTGCCTTAATTAAACATTCAGTTCGTCATCAACAATATAAATACTGAAAATAAAGTGATAGTCATAATAATAACCTTCATGTGTGAAACAGCCATCCGTAAAATGGTTAATTTATCAGGTTTTCTGCCCAACGCAGCACACTGAGGAACCATTTCGGCTAATTCATTAATATAATGTGTCATTTTATTACGTCTTCTTCGCTCAATTTCGCTGTGATTCTCACGCGCAAAACGTTCTTTACTATCCGTGCTCTCATCACCCTCACAGACATCCATACGAGCATATTTTGACATTGATACACCTACATCGTCTTCTTCTGACCTTAACTTTTTATTCATTTTTAATTTAAGAATTCATTTTTACCATTCACTACAAGAAATTTTGAACGCAGTTTTAAGTGGTCTGTACTTATGTCAATTAAACTGACCTATTGATTTCATTAAAGCCCTCCAGAATATTTCTAGTAAATACGAACAAAGTCCATGGTAAATACGAACAAAAATTTAACGGAAAAATCAAATTGATAAGTGACGAAAAACTGAACGATGACGTTAATAAACAATAGAATGAGATAGCGAACTTACGTTCCATGCTGCCATGCATCAATAAAGTTCGAAGCTTGACTATTGCCAGTAGCCATATTCGATAATGTAACTGACTTTTATTGGATGTGTACCATTGATACGTGATATTAAAAATAATATTTATTGCAGATGTACGATGAAAATAATAACGATTGTCTGCGAAGTCGTTACAGGTGATCTTTTTGTCGATACACACAATAATATTCAATTATTTGTTATCGTCGTCGTTTTCTCAAGCTCCATTATTTCGCTGTTATATATCAATAGTGTGCTTGTGGTGATGATTGCTTATTTGTTAATTCATTTCATTTGATACTTTATTTTATATTCATCTCCCTTCATATGCTCTTTTTATTTGCTTTCCTTTCACCACTCTCTTTATCGAACAACGTCATTATTCCTCTACTACTTCTATTCCTTTCCTCTCGAACGCTCATTGATTCCATCTTTCTTCATCAATCCATTATTATATGCATTCTCTTGTCAACTCTATCTATTTGTTCAACGCCAGATACTCTTTTTCACTACGCGATCTATTCTTCTTCGTGCCGTCGTGCACTTCTCAACTTCTCAACAATCTCCTCTCCCGATTTGGTTGATTCTCTCACCGTATTGTGCCACTATATGGTTAATAGATATCTTATCTATAACAGATGAATGAAGAACGGATACATAAATGAGTAAATAAATGAATGAAACACACATACGTGAACAATGCATACCACTTATCTCGTTTACGTCCTTAGTCTCATACACGCATGCATATAGTACAATACAAACGCTTGTTGCTGTCTCACCAAGACTAGCTTCATGGACTGTTTGTGATTTATATNTATATTCACATGAAACAGTGAGAATCGATCCAGATAGCACAGTTTGCCGTTGATCACTTACATCACACAACATATGTTTATCGTACCGAAAATGTAATTGCAACGAATTAAAATGTCCCGTTCTATGGAAGAACATCGTTTTAAGTTGACACTCAGATATTCTCCTTCTTTCATCTTTGTTCCTCTGTCAAGAGAGAGGAAACCCAAACTGATAACGGAAATGGAATTGGAGGGGACAAATAATCGTACTGAAATGGGATTTTTTTGAGTAGGATTACATGGTATGAATATAAGGAGTCGAATGGTTCAAAGGAAAGCGTGGCATTTATCAAACAACCAGTCAATCAAATGATACGTTATCACGAAGAACAGAAGCATTTTCGGCTGGTTTGTTCTATTTTTAACATAACTGTGCAATTATACTATACGTTATCAATAAGCAATATCATTTTATCACTACCCCGTCTCTTCAGTATTTGAAACTTAACTATGCGACGTACACAAATGATATGAGTGCAGAATCATCACGCCATCAAAGCAATCTTCAACATAACCATATCACTCATCCATTTCTTATTCACTTTTGAATTTATGCAATTGGAAGATACTGAATGCTTGCATCTGAAGAAGTTCTTTTTCAATTCTGCATCATTACGGCTACATTCGAATTCAACTTTTCTTCAGGATTAAAGCCATGACATTTCATTACTCAAAACGAATTTTCGTAATCGCACTTATTGTGGCCGCAATCATTCTTGTAATCTCACTTTGTTTTTGGATTATTTTCCCATTGGTATTCCCTGTTCTCGTTCAACAAGTAAGCGCATGTTATTGATGAATCGATCATTTCGTTCCTTTTTTATGCCCTCTGAAATATCACATATGTGTTTCAATTCATCTCTTCATCGCTTTGATTCAGCTTCATACGGAATGAAAAAAAAAACAGATCCTCTTTCGGGACAATTTTTCTTTTTGATTAATCTGCAATGCAAACTACTTAGCATTCAAATTTTCCTTCAGAATTTAGTCCTATCCGTAAATGACGACGGAATACCGTCCACAGCAACGTTTTTCTGGTCGAAACCACCAGTGGAAGCAATTATGAATTTCTACTTCTTTAATATCACGAATCCAGATGAGGTTTCGTTTTGTTCTACTTTTTATTTCGTTTAGTTTCTTTTCGTTTTTGATTTTGATTTCGGCTGAATTCAACGAATCACTATTCAACGATAAGTGAGGATTATATTTCTAATGGAAACAATTTTCAGGTTATATATGAAGGCGCAAAACCTATATTACTAGAATTAGGACCATTTGCGATAAGGTCTGTGCATTTATTTTAAATTGAAATGCAGCATTTACATACAGCGGTCATACGATAATAGTTTTCGATTGTTTTGCATGGTTTTATGAGCAATCATCAGTCAAAATGCCAGCAGTGTTTAATAGTTGCGATTAGTGTTCGTCGGGGAGCAGTTTTTCGCACGGAGGGGGGTCCCCGCGGGGAGAAAAATGGACGGGGAGGGGTCCCCGCATAAAAGTCGGGGAGCAAATCACGCGAAGGTGGACCGCGTACGGAATGACCGCTCCTCGTGTTTCTCGACGGGGAGGACGGGGAGCATTTCAGCTCAATTTTTTGATAGAATTTCAATTTTTTACAGATTTTTCTTCTTTTTTTTTCAGGAGTTCTTTTTCAGCTTTTTAAATAGAATTTCCCATCCCGATGTGCACCTTTGCAAGTGAAATGAAATTGTTTATCAGTGATAATACGCTCACGACTACAGCTTTAAATAACATGTTGCTGCTAGTGTTGGGTCGGTGACAACCGAAAATCGGTCGCTAATCACCGCAGGTTTTACGGTTGTCCCCGACCGTCGGTTATTACCGAGTTGCGGTGATTACCGACCGCGACCGACAACGCTTGCTCGGTCGGTTCGGTTTATAATCGCGGAGCGGTTATAAACCGAACCGCAACCGATCGATGCTCAAAATTATGCGGTCGGTGAATACCGAGTTGCGGTAATCACCGACATGGCCCTTGTCGGTGACCACTGAAAAAAATCTTGCGGTTTCCAATACTAGTTGCTACCATAAAAAAACCGCACAAAAAATTGGTTTTATTTTATTTATATCTCTATCTTATCAGTTTTATCCTATCTTATTATCTCCAATACCGTATTACTTTCAAAGTAACTCACGCCCTCAATAATCCAGTACTTCAGCAATAATTACCGGAAACATCATCAGTATAGAACGAAGTGAGAATTTTTGAACTATTTGATAAGACGGATTTAGTAATTATAATAATTTTTTGGATAATGGATTCACATTTCTAATATCGAAATAACTGAAAATCAGTTGGTCAATAACTGAGTTGATATGAGTGCAAAATCATGAGTTTTCAAATAAATGACAGGTTGGAAACTTAAGAAACCATCGTTCTTAACAAGTTTCTCGATCTCTATGATTATATCCTTAAAATATTTCATTTGCCATCGTTTATTTCCTCTGAGTAATATTTGATTCTTTTTTAAATGACAGTTGAACTAAAACTTCCATATTGGGCATTCTAAATTCAGTTACTTCAAGAATTTAAACAACCGATCGTTCTAATCGAACAGAATTTGAGCCAGACACCTTATACTCTCATTTCAAAACAAACAGCAACAGAATGTTGGAAGTGTTGCAGCGATATTTCGCCATTTTCAGTTGATTGTTCACGAATGGAATGGCGGGGAGCTTGGCCCCCCTGTCGGGGAGCGAAACTGGACGAGGGAGGGGGGTCCCTGAGAAAAGGTTTGGAACGGATCGCCCGGGTGGGGGGGAGGGGGTTCCCCACGGGGAGAAAATTGGACGGGGGGGGGAGGTCCCGCAAAAAAGTCGGGGAGCAAATTGCGCGGAGGAAGAGCTCTCCCCGCGTTTCCCGTCGGGGTCCCCGACGAACCCTAGTTGCGATTAGACAGCCTTTAACATGTACGTCAGTTCATAACCTTAATCAAGGGTAGCAATAATAATGAACTAATTGATAAGCAGAAAGTAGTGTGAAAATTATGCAAATCATTGCGACTGTTTGAAAACGAATACAATAAACAAAATGTTCATTCAAAAAGTCGTTCAATTTTCAGATATTCAGAGCAGAAACAAGAGTACAGATTCTTAGAGGATGGTCAAAAAGTTTATTATAAAAATTACAAACGTTATACATTTGCTAAGGAATTGTCATGTGATTACTGTGATGAAAATACATCATTAACAATACCGAACGTTGTTGCTGTTGTATGTTCCATTTTCTACGAGTACTTTTTACAGTAATTTAATTCGGTTTCTTTTCAAATCCACTACAGTGTTTCGATTTATGAATATTATTTACGATGCATTCAGCTTGAGAAGCAAAAGATTCGGCGATGAGTATTTGCCTACATTAAGGCTATTGGAAGCCCATAACAAATGTTTTCATGTCTGATTAGAAATGTTTACACATCATACTTGTCGAGTGTCCAGTTTGAGTGCAAGTAAAAGTTTTTGCATGAGGCATTTCTGAAGGTTTTGTCTTTATATTGCAAACAACTAATATTTGTGTTCTCAAATAGGGTGCATTGACCAGCATGATGAATCCAAAATACGGTTGCGGGAGTGCATGTCGAACTTTAATTAATATTGGTATGTTATTGTTCGGTGAAAATCCGTTTAGGTAAGTTGTTATTGTTGCCGTTGTTTTTATTGCTGATAGTATTAGTCGGTATAAGTCATGAATATTAACTGCATACGATATACTTGATAGTGAAATTATTTATTATGTTCGTATTATACGTATCAAGTCTTTCGTATTGCTATTTCAGACAGTGTGTTTCTTCCTAAAACTCATTTTGGCTGCTATCGTTATTGTTGTGATGATTATTAACAATAGAAACAATGTTTCCAAATGTCACATATAGCAAAGTATTTGTTACTGGTTGAAAGTTGCCTTCTAAAAGTCATTTAGATAGCTAAAATTGCCTGCTTCAGTGAAGTATTTTAGTTTTAGTTAGATGCGTTAAATACGGTATTCAAACAATTATTTGTGAGAATAATAAAGCGAAAATACTGAAACAAATCTCACTCGAATCAATTAATGAAGCCTTACATATCAACAATATGAGCAATAATTGTTAATATAATAGAACTAAATGATGATAATAATAGATCTTCTGATCAGCTGAAGTGTTTCATTTTCGATAAATTTGTAGAACTGTGAAATTTATTGATGTGATATTCAACGGTTATTATGATCCATTTTTATCGTTTGCACATTCGGAATTTTACGTGACTCTATGTGATGTTTTCAATAATGGTGAGCCGTTGATTCCATTTCCCATTCCATCGATGCAAAAGATGGCTTATTTCTATGGAGTTAGTTTAATACCATTTCGTTGTGTTCATTTATTTTTATGACTTGAACCATATATGTAACATGAAATATAGAAATTTATTTATATTTATTTACACATGCATTCAATCGTTCCTGGAAGACTTACTTTTACTGATAAATAAGTTCAATGAAAAAGAAAGGAGTAATGACACACAAATTTTGTTTCAGTATAACGATACGAATGATGAGGATTATGTTATTGAAACTGGCAAAAGTAGTGTCAATGAAATCGGTGATATTGCTGAATGGGCCGGAGCAAGAAGCCTTCCATTCAGTTGGTGGAAAACACTGAACGCAAGAATGATCAACGGTTCAGGTAAAATAAGATTTGCTTAAGCATCATATCCCACTTCGTCATTCAATTTAAATCAAATGCTAGGAAATGAACGGCAGTTTTTTTTTTGTATGAAGAGTAATGATGACAGTAAAGAGGGGCACTAAAAGAAGAGCCTCTAATATCATTATCGAACAGTAAAAATTACGAAGAGATGAAATGATCATTTTTTATGGTAGTTTCATGCGCAGAATCCGGAAATGAATTCGGTTGTTTCCTATAACCCTCCGCTTTTACTCAGATAAATACGGAGACTGTTTATTGCATTTGTACCAATGTGCTTCTTGAGTGCTATGTTCATGAATCATAATCGTTTTTGGCAAACAAATGAGCGTTAGAAAAATTTGAATTGTGCAAAAATTTGACTGCAGAAAATTGCAGAAGATTCGAGTCCAGTATAATTCATTGCACAGAGTTCACATATTCGTTAGATTGCATTAATATATCAAAAATCGTTTAATTTTGATCAGTCGCTCATATTGTGAGTGACGAAGTAAATAACCGAATTTATGCCAAAATGAGGCTCATAAGAACTTTTTCAAACTACAAATTTATCTCAGATGTTTTGCCACTATAAACTGAACAGTTTATTCACATCTGATGTATTCCGTATTTAGATTCTGCGAGTCTCACACATCCTCAATTAACCAAAAATGATGTACTACCGTTTTTTTTGTCATTGATGTGTCGGTTAGTTCACCAATTGAAGTCATTTATCTCAATGTCTAGACGATAATCGCCTAAACATTATTCAAACTTTAACATTTTCACATCATTTAAATAAAATGAATTCTAAACCGATAATGTAAATTCTCATCATCATTAAGCTTGCTGTTCATTATCAAAACCACTCAACTTGTGACTAGTGATGTCTCTATTGCAGTTAAACTATTCTATTCCTGTTCTATTCCAAGGAATAGAATAGAACAGTTCGCAAGCGAGGAACGCACAGAATAGAATAGAGCCATTATCGAGCCTAAAGAAATAGAATGGAACAGTTTTCAAAAACGTGGAATAGAGACATCACTATATGCAACACATCTCATTAAACTATATCATCCATTGAAATCGAATTGATCAAAAAACTTGTTAACAACATTCAACGAAATTTAGAACTTTGGCTCAAGTGATATTATTTTCAGTTCATTTTATGCTGTTTATGATGGTGAAACAGAAGTGGAAGGTATACCTTCGTACCGTTTCATAACACCGTATGAAGCATTCGACACTACCTCAAATGAGAACAGTGGATTTCGTTATGAGAATGCCGAACAAGTCGACTATTTCAAGGAATGGAGTCCATGCCCTAACAGGTATCCTTCATTATTTCGCGTTCATCATTTGATCATTTTCCGTTATCCGATGTCTGGAGCGTTTTTCTTATTTTCAATAGTCGTTCATTTAACTTGTTTTTTTTTTGGAATATTTTGAAGAAACACTCAAGTTGCATATGGAATCAACCGTTGTTTAAACCGACGACAGCAAATTTATTCATTATTAAGAACTGACTATTCACTGAAATAAGCCTTACAAGATGTGACATACATCGTCATTATATTATTAATTATTTTAACTTCTTCTTTACATGTAACATTCGAAATAATCATTCGTCCAATGGAACATTTTTATCAGTTGTTTTAGTTATCAATAACTCGTCAAATATTTCTTGTTTGTTGTCAAGATCTCGACAAACTATTGCAGTAAAATAACATGGACAAACTGCTCAAAAGTAACCTTCGTGGATTGCTCAAGACGTGAAAATTTTTGCAATGTTTGTTGCGAGGGAAAATTTGTGGATGGTACTTATTTACTGCCACCCGGAATGTTTCCACTAACATGTTTTCCAGGTAAAATATACGGTTTCATTAGAAGTTACCGTGGAAAATGATTTCATATGCGAATTTCTCGACGTTTCAGGCAAAAATGAGCTCTTACCTTTTTCGGCTATTTTTTCACCGCCACATTGGGTTTTTTCACCATCCGAAGTGCAACAATCAGTTCGAGGTTTATCACCGGACCGCAGTCGCCATTTACCATTCGTCTTTACGCGTGAGCCGGTATGAAACTGATTAATTAATGCGTTCCAAATGATTATTCGAATTACTCATTTAATCGATTTGAATCATGAATAGCTTATGCAAAAAGTGGATAGCCAATGAAAATAAGGAATCGAAAAAACGCATTCTAAATCTAAGTGAATTCGGTTAACTGCCGGGAATAATAATATCAAGTAGAATAAAATGAAGAAGCTAAGTTCAAATCCAACAATCAAGACATAACGAGGAAGCGGTTTTGTCATCACTCAAAACATTTGTAAAAAATTTGACGAATGCTGATCGATTGTTTCGTTTAAATTTATTCTGATTGCTACTCGCGAATTCAGTCATACAATAGGAACAAATTAAGCAGAAAACCATTTCCACCGTTCGTAATAACCAGCAGTCTATCAGTTTTCATAAAATACACATCGTTTTGGAAAACCATATGTTCAGACTTCTGGAATGCTTACAAGTGGCCATGTACGACTGATGGCTTCATTACCGTTGTTCAACAATAACAAAGCAACGTATGTTTTTTCTAATGGAATTCCAATTTGTTTCGCATAGACTTACAGGACTTTTTGAAGCTGTTCACAGATTTTTTTAAACGGATGAATAATGAGTTTAGTTCAGGATGGCAATGAATGTCAACAACATGTTAATACCAGCATTCTGGATAGACACTGAAGCTAAGTTGAATGAAGCGATATATGCAACGATTCGTCGAATGTTTATCAAATTGCCTTGGGTTATTCGCATAGTACAGATTGTTACGCTGGTTGTAGCCATATTAATTGCTTTAGCTGCAATCGCATGGCGGATCGCATTTGCGTTTTACAAACGTCGTCATCAATAGAAAATTCGTTTGCAAAATCATCTTCATTGAGTAGTTAGGTAATGAGTGAATGAATTATTTCATTGAATGACAAATTCAAATCGATGAACTAAATTGTTGATCAAGTATTCGAAGTAAAAAACATTGATGAATACAAAGCAAGTAGTTATAATCAATTTAAGTGATCAACGGAGATGAAATTTAATTATGGACTGATACACTGTACAAGCAATAATACATACAATAGTGTTGTGCGGGGAGGGAAAAAAAGTCGGGGACGGGGAGAGACGGGGGCATTTCGGGGAAGGGGAGAGTCCCTAAAATGGCCACCGCTCGAAAATGGTCGGGGACGGGGAGTTTCGGGGAGAAAACTCAATCTCATTCCCGTTCCCGACTCCCCGAAATTCCCCGAAGATGTAACTTTTGAACTGGAGTCACCATGACCTTGAAAATATGATTTTTTGATGGAAACGCATTTAAATAAGTGATCTTTAGGCCAGAAAAGCGATAACTGCAAAGGTGCAATGCAATTCTATTTACAGCAATTCTATGAGAAAATAGAGTTTTGAAAATAGCAAAATTTTTGAAGAAAATAGCAAAAAAGCCCAGCAAATAGAGTTTTTAGAGTTTAGTGAAATAAAAGTTGCGAAAAATAGAGTTTTTGAAAAAACAGCAAAATAATAGCAAAATTTTTTTGACAAAAACAAAACAGAATACACGCTCTACTCCTGCAGTTCTCTACTACACTCACCTATGCGGACATATCACATGTCACTGTGCAGCTCTCGAAATATTCATAATCGTGGGAAGGAATTAACACACGAATTCATGAACTCAAAATTTTGTTGAATTTTATTGCTCTTGGTTCTCATTAAAAATGTGATTATCTCCATTAGTCTACATAGAAATGCATCCAGATGAGCGTGACATAAACTAATGAAGAGCGTAATAATCAATTGAATGTTCAATGAAATGCTCTGCAAAAGTTCATCAAGCTGCTGTTGATCATGCCATTCATCTGACTTGCATCAATTTCTTTGACTATTCATCAGTGATAGGTGGCAAACAACAAGGATGATTGCATATGAATGAGCTGGGAATGATTAAGGCTTGCCTTAAGATGGACGCACTATTAAAATTAATACATATTGACCTGCTTTATCAAATCCCGAGATCCCAGGATTTTTCGAAACTTAAATCCCGGGGTCGGGATCAGGATTTCCCTTGTACACCCTAGCTGAGACAAAATGGTAGTGGAGCTTCAAAGGCAAACATGCGAGCAAAGATCGAATATTCAACTTAGGATCGCTCGCAAGGGTGTGGTAGATTCGAATTCATTTTTTTCGGGGAGTTTCGGGGAGAGCCGGCAATTCTGGAGAAGTCGGGGACAGGGAGAGTCCCCGAAAATGGCCACCGCTCGGGGATGGGGACTCAACGCACAACAGTAACATATACATTGGATTTAAGTTCAGTCGAGTTAATTTTGCATTAAATTCAATTCATACAGAGCAAGAAAGCTCGACTTACGAATCGCTTGATTTATGATAAATTCTTAGCATTTATTCATGCATAGGTTAGTTGAAATTAAAACCTTAATCTGATCATCTATCATAAACAAGACGTAGACATGCACAAATGTAAACATACAAATACGTTATGTGTATTGGTTAATAATATAACTGTGATATTGTAGAATAATCAACAATGGTTACAACTGTGATAATGAAAATATTGTTGCTGCCATTATGCAGTTTTTCATTAACTCTCGCTGTTAATGTTGCTTATCCTTTGTTATGTTGAAAGTTATATTTAATGAAGGAAACATTGCTGTATACTTATTATATAACTGCTCATATGAAAGACAACGGAATGAAAAACAAAAATAGGAACTGGCTTTGATTAATGAAAACTGTCATCTAATTTACAAAATCCAAAACCATCATGTGGTGTCCATCCTGACTTAGTACATGTCAGTGTATTCTGTCCTTTCACCACAAATTCATTATTACATATTAGGATTGCCGTTGTACCCAACTCGTATTCGTTCTCCGAACCGGCTTGAATGTAGTACACCTAGAAATTATAGTGAAGATAATAGCAACAATACCATTGTTGTTATTGTTGGTTGGTAATATCAAAGTTATTATTATTATCATTATCGCAACTCTGCTGTCATCTTCGTTGCTTTCATAATCAGTTATTTTCAGTAATACTTCAGCAAATCCATATTCGAAATCTTTGTGATTTCGATGATTTTAAATCGAGTGTTATCGCTATCATTTACATAATTGATTGATTAACCTTTCCATTAGGTTGCTCTGGGAATTTCATACAATTTCCAGGTCCTGAGAATTCACGTATGTCGTCTTTTGTTTGACATTGTCCCAAGTCTGGATTCCAGACGCTGTCGTGACACACCGATAATGGTGTTCCACTTACCGTATAACCATCGTCACAGCGTAGTTCGGCAATAGTGCCCATTGGGTATGAACCAACCGTTGGTGAATTATCGTAATGAATCTGAAGCGAAACACCATTCGAACGCCAACAAAAGCAGCTTGCTTTTTTGATTTTTTTCTTTGAAAAATGCCATTTCAATTTTAGGAGATGAGCATTTGAAAAGAGTTCGTGTTCGATGAACGAATTCGAATTCGGGATAATACTTCGAATAACCTACATATCCATTTGATGGATTTTGTTGTGACGTACAGAATGTTATAACGTTTTTATCATTCACAAAGTGAGTTGATTTGCCGAACATATGCGAAGGTGACGACGATGATACTTCATCGAGCGTTTCAGCGGATCGTTTACAAAAACCAATGCCCGGCCATGGCATCCAACGCCCGTTGTTGCAAACTGCAGTCCTTGATCCGGATATCGTAAAGCCAGGATTACACGTCAGTATAACTACCGTTCCAGAGCGATACATATTACTTACTTGGTCTTCAGAATAACTCAGCTAAACATTTCAAGGATACAGCAAAAGAAAAGTGATAACATAAGGCAACGGTTATAGGTAGAGAACTAATTTCCAGCGCTGAACATTACTGGCTTCAATAATACTGAGAATAATAATAATAAAACAATGAATAAATAATAGCAATAACACGATGTGACAGTAATAAAGTGTGCAAAACGACACTTACCTGTCCATGAGATACACCAATTACGGCCTGACACCGTCCAACAACTGCACCCGAACCTATGTCATTCAGTCCTGGAATGAGAATAACGACCGAAAATAGAGTACACTAACATATGAAAATGACAAATGTGTGAATTAACAATGCAAGAAAATTGAATATTATTGAATGTATTCAAGGATCATATCACTGCTGTCCTATTCACTTACCATTTCTACTACATGGCCCGAGATTCGGTGGTTGCCATGAGCCATTTGCACAAGTTGATGTCATAGGTCCCAGAGGCACTGAACCGAAACTGCATGTTAGTGTTGCTGTGCTACTACTGACAAATGGGCCAATTGAAGTTCCCTGAAGCAGAAGCGAATGAAGAAATTAACTTTCCATTAGATTTACAGATGCAGTGAGAGAACACATCACTCAAAAATATATCGTTGATGAATTCTTCGGGATGATAAATTAGAATTGCTTGTGTTGATGATTTGAATGTAAATTGCAAAACAAAATTCCACCGTCGAATATTGTATATTTCCGTTCAAAACGGCAGGTAACGCGAATAGACAGTCTCGGGATATGGCTGTTGTCCCACCAAGTGGACTAATCGTATTTCCACCAAGACCACTTTGACATGTTCCAAGTACTGGAGGATTCCACTGTCCTGCAAAAAGTCGTGAACAATACTGATTATGAGCCAAAACATTGAAACTCTTATCTGGAGTCAACGAAAATCGAGAATAAATAACCGGTGCTATTGTCACCCGAAAAAAAAAAGAACGTTCAATACTTATTTGTTTACTGATCACTATAATGATTAATCAACAAACCATTAATGCACGTTGTTCTCGTCGCACCACCACTGACCGTAAACCCGAGATTGCATGTGACTGTAGCGACGGTTCCGAATTCATTAAGCGATGCAGTTCGTCGATTCATATACGAGATTTGACCATTTAATGGTGGAAACAATGTGACACATTGAGCTGTTGATAATCCGCCGTCACCATCTGAATGCAAACATCGATATTAAAAACTCTTCGTCAACCGCACTTCTAATGAGCTGTCATTAGGTGAAAATTCAAAGCATTTTTTCTTCAGAATGCAAACAATGCGTAAATTGCATTTAATCAAAGCATTTCAAGATAATAACAACAGCATTTGAATTGAGTAAATAGTTGATTCTATTACAATGATCTCTATAAACATGAAGAGTGTATATACAAATACGTTTTGAGCATGTTTTGAGTTGATTCATAATAATCATTTATAATGTGATTTAAATTAAAGTAACCTTGTGAGCATTGTGCAATTAAAGATGGAGTGAATTGCCCATCGAGACATGTGGCTGTTGTTGTTCCAGAAGCAGTAAATCCTGGATTGCAACGGACTGTGACAGTAGTACCAGACGGATATGGCCCAGTTAGTCTGTCATTCGAATAAATCACACGTCCATTGAACGGTGGAAACACACCAGTTAGGCATGAATCTATGGATGATTTTTCGTTATCTAACTTTCATCCGTCGTTTATTTAAAAAATTGTAAGAATTATTTATCTTATTTCTAATCTTTTAAATTGTTTATCTTAAAGACGGACTGATAACGTTTTTTTTTAATGCATTAAGTTTGTTCGTTATTGTTTATAATATTACTTATGGAAAAGTTATAATTGTTTTTACCCTGAACACATTGCACGAGGTTCGGTGGATTCCAACCCCCATTCAGGCAGGTACTTTGTGTTGTTCCACCTAACGATGGAGTATACCCAGCAGCACAATTCATTTTTGCTATCGTATTTGTTGGAAACGGTGGGAATTGTGAAGTGCTTGAATATTCTATTTGACCATTTGCTGGAGGCAGTAGACCAGAAGCACACTGAAGCCCAAAAGGACCTTGGAAAACGATCATAAATATCAGCAATTCCGACTATACAATCAAACAAAAATAATTATCGCACATTAGACGTCGCACTTGATCAGTTCTAATCAAACACTTTCTATTCAAACAATGAAGTTATCAACTCAAAAATTTATCTTGTCTATAGCAGAACACTTCTCTTTTGTCTTCATTTACGAATGTGCGATATATTTCGTGAAAACCAATCTTCAATCAAAACTGAAAAATTTCAGTGGAAAATATCTGCAAAATTGTTCGATTCCTAAAACTCAACCTGATATTGTTGTCGATGACAGTAATTCACATTGTGCTAATGGCGGTATCCAATCACCATTACTACAGATGGTTGTTGTAGAGCCAAATCCTATCGTTCCTCTGAAACCAGGATTACATTTCAATGTGCCAACTGTGCCCGGTGGAAATGGCCCGAAAATTGCGTTATTTGAATAGCTTATTTGACCATATGCTACATTTGGTGCACCAGTTACACACTGTCCATTGTTCGAACCACCAACGTAACCTGAAACTTTAAAAATCTCTCATTTGACCAAAACAGCAAAACCGCTCTTTCAAATTCAGTCCACCGACTTCGTCAACTATTCTCACCAATCTCGATAAACGAATTCATTCATTCATTCGGTGGTTCATTAGTATCATTACTGTTCTCCTTATTATAATCATCAACATAGTTCTCATCGAGGAATGACTGCAAGTTTCAACTATTAGGATATCGTTCCTAATGAAGTCTTACCTGTGGGACATTCACCAAGAGTATTCGGTTCCCACTGACCGTTAACACAACGAGATATACTTGCACCTTTCGCTAAACCGGAAGAACATCGCAAAGTTGCTATGGTATCAGTAGGATACGGTCCTAACGGAGAAGCTGAAACACATCATTTTTGGAAACTGATGAAAAAACGCTTTTCAGTAACAAACATCAGCTACCAGTGGATGCCATTCAAATTGAGGGAATTGATTTGGGATGAATTCACCGAACACCCCACTGCAATGTTAACTTGGAATGAAAAAGTCAAAAACGAAATGAACAGGTGAATAAAGATGCAATAAACACGATGTAATAACCTGAGCTGTACGAGATGCTACCTCCAATTGGAGGGACTAGTCCAAAAATGCATTGTGTTTTCAATGCACTTGTGGTTACTTCACCTATATTACATGTGCCAAACGATGGTGGATTCCACGTTTGACCAGTGCATGTTGCAGTCCTTGGGCCTGAGAAGAATTAAAAGTTAGTAATACGCTCTTTTACTAGTGCTTCTTGATCATTGCTGATAATTGAATCGAATTTTATAACACATCAATGTTTAGCGTCAATTATTTCTATTTTATTGATGTTAATTCAAAATTTTCATTTAATAATCTAGCGTAAGGTTTAGCGTTGAGCACTTTTTGCTTTCACGGAGAAAAACAGACAATATGATTGCCAAAATTCGTCGTTTGGTAGACCAAGATTTTGCTTTTTTACAACTTATCGAATTCAGTTTACCATTTATCCCGAGACCAGGATCACAGTTGAGTGTAGCTATTGTTCCGAATGGATAAGGTCCGAAAATACCGCCTTGTGAATAACTGACTTGACCACCGAGAACAAAAGGCATTCCAGTTATACACTGTGAAACACTGATGGTGTTAATACCAAGCTACAATTCATCGCTTAACTTCATTATCATTATTATTCAAGCTTGAATTTGAATTAGAGCAGTAGCACAATTATTGATAATAATCATTATCATCAGCTATCAGCCATAGCAGAATAGCGATTAAACAGTTGACAAGTCATACAATTAAGATGCAAAAATCCATGGCACTTCACATGTATAATTCAGATCAGGACAGAAACAAAAGCAGTTCAGAAAAGGAAAAATAAATGAGTCATTTGACATCACATGAAGTTGTATTGTCACAACGATTATTATTTTTTATAAAAGCAGTAATTACACGAATAGATACCTACATATCCTAGCCTATTTCACTCGCAATAAAAATAGTGACACTGGTACATCATTCGCCTTAGGAAACACTTTTCATCACGATAAAACTCGAACCAGCGATAATAACAATAAGCTTATTGTGATTTTCGTTACTGGTATCACTATCAGTGTTGTTAGTGTAAGAGTTTAAAATAGTAGCAGCCATATATGAGCGATAGATAAACAGCTGATTAGCAGCATTATTTTTATTTAGCGTAAGCAAACATTGCAGAGATGAAAATTTTGAGGGTAAACCACATAACCTCGACCGAAATTGGAGTTGATTGAAAAGCTCAAATTTTGTAAAAGAAAAGCGGAAAGTCCCAGAAGCAAAAAAAATGGCCTGAGAGGGATTGCTTCTGAGATTCTGTGGCATATGTTGCACGTGCATACATCATAAGACATCAGAAATCAGCAGAATAGTTTCAAAACAATTTCTTCGCAAGCTTTATTCTTACTTATTCACCTGTCTTTTGGCTCGTAGAATACCGTTGTTCATTGGCTAAAAGTGTTACACAACTGAATCAACTTCGAATAGAGATTAAAATAATAAAATAGAATTTGTTCACAATTCAAATTTCTTTCATGTACAAAACATGAAAATTTGAATTCGAATGTTTCCTCCATTCAATCAAGTTGAATTCCCCTTAAGTTACGTTTTAAAAAATTGCAAATATTAAATTTCAGCGAATTTAACCGAAAGAATCCAAATGTAGTCGGTAACAAACCAATTGACAAGTGCCTAATGTTTGAGACGGCATCCATCCGTCAGGTGTACATATCACTGTATCGCTTCCAGTTACCTCATATCCACTTACACAAGTTAATTTTGCATACGTACCAATCGTTATCATCCCAATTTGTCCAGCCGAGATTCTTTGGTTTTGATTTGTTTTCTCATTGAAAACATATTCAACCTGGAAAGTGAGCGATTTTTCGAATGGAATAAAGGCATCTTTTGTAAAGGTTTCGTCGCTAACAAAAAATCCAAAGAATGAATCGAAGACGACAATAACAAAGTATTAACGTTTCCATTTTGAATTGATCCAAACGGACTGCAGTTGCCGTTACGCGGTATTTTAGTTGTTTTGAGCGATTGTTGTTTCGTACATGAACCGAGCATGGATATCGACCATACCCCGTTAACGCATTTCGATTCTAAATTATCGAATCCAAACGTGGGATAGAAACCAGCGTTACACTGAAGAATCGCAATTGTACCAGTCGGATAAATTCCGTTCATTGCTGACCCTTCTGTACTGTATCGGATTCGACCATGTGCGGGAGCGGGGAATGCCGAACAAATATTCTTCTCGGTTGGAGAACCTCAAGAAAACAATTTGAAATTGCACACTTTACAGTTTCACTTTAGTCCGTCTGTTTTCAGTCACTATTTGCTATTCTTTGAAAGTAAATGCTTTTCAACCTCCATTTCGCTCAACACAACCACCAATTAGGCTTTCTGGATACCAGCCCATTGGAGTACATGTGAGCATTCCAGAACCAACAAGCATGAAACCGTCGTTGCATTGCACCGTAATCACTGTATAAAGCGGAAATTTCATACTGCTGACTGGTTGATATACTATCTAAATTACATTCAATCAAATGAGTGTAGTGAAAGGAGCTCTTATAATTATTTAAAAAACAGAATACCGAGTGAAAAAAAAATGAGATGAGATAAAGTTTTACTCGGCCATTTAGTATTTTTGAAACGGGTGTGCAACCGTTTCCACTATTCGTTTGCTGCTTTTGTTGTTTGAATTGCTTCATTAATGACTTATTCGATTCTGCTTCATCAGCACTTTTGATATAGTTTTTGTTTTTATCAATGCTCCATCCATAACACAACGCTTTTGCATTTCGTTCATATCCAGATATTGTCACATTCTTATTTATTGCATAAGCATATGCTTCAATTGGAATATCATTCATTACTACTGATTTTATGATCACCGCTAATATTATTATTATTCTTTTCATCATCCATATTATTATGCTAATTTTTAAATTTTCGTTGCTATAATTAGGAACGTTATTAGGAGTTTGTCAATGAGTGCTTGACATTGGTTTTACAATTTGATGATGATCGTATGAAACAAATCGATACACATCAAATGAATATACCTAATTTTGAGCTACTTTTGTGCTTGTGCATATAGATCGGTACATCAGCTCCACAATCACCTTCATTATTGACGCAATATAACGCTTGCTCTTTATCATCAATATTCTTATAACCAGGTGGTGGTACGCTGCTATTGGTCTGATAGAAAACCACACCTAAATTACATTCACATCTATCAAAAATGTTCAACAAGTGAATGCCGAAAAAGAAAACGGCTAAGTTTTCTTTCTAAAAAATACCCAGTAAAATGAATAGAGTAAAATGGCTAAATAAATAAATTAATTAATTAATCGAAATTAGAGGATTAATGAATGACGATAGATTGAATACCATCATTGAATCGCTCGTTAATCGTTAACTGAATCGCACAAACACAAAAACGTGGTGGTGTACCAGCCGAGAGGACAACGAAAGCATTATTTGGATACTGATCAGCTTCAAATCCTTCTTGCAATAAATCCATACCACCAATACGGTAAATATCGCTCTCATCAACTTTCGTTGATCGTTTAATCCAAATCGAAACCGCAACTTCAAATTATAATTGCATAATTCTTGAAAGCTTGAAAATATTACCGACAAATGCTTTATAAGCTCCTAACGGTTCGAACCAGTGAGTAAATACAAAAGGAAAAATTCTGAGAACTTTATTGATGAATCAAATAGGAATGGTTTCTTGACGAGAAGAAATCGCTTATGACAGAAATAAGTGAAATGTGTGAAAACCGCCAGAAATAAATGAAAACAGAGCAAGTGAACGGAAAAGAAATTAGTGAAGACGGAATAAGTGAAAACTGCCAACCGGCATTTGTTGGATAGCCATCCATTGGGCACAATGACGAATCGTTCATTTCAATTGCATTTCCATAAGAAGTTGCACCAAACAGCGAGAAAATTATCAATATGAAATGAGGCATTGTGTTGATCGGTCGTCTCTGAAATGTTTTTTTAAGCAAATGCGAAAAGCAAATCACAAAATCAAAGAAAATTATTGCGGAAAAATTTTTTAAACAATCAAATTCGACGAAAAAATAAAAATCAGATCGAATAAGATCAAAAAAATATCAAGTAAACCAAATTTTTCTGAATCAAATAAAGTCAAATCAAAAATGAATTTGGTTGATTTAATGAAATTACGTACAGAAAGAAGATTATTAATGTCTTGTGAATTGCTATCGATTTGCATCTATCAAATTATAGAAATGTTGCATTAAATACTTGCATCTTCTGCTAAAGAATGTAAATGAATTTTTTGCATGAGTCTCTTGTGCAGGCATAAGAGAGGAAACGGAGATAGATACACAACAAGTTGCAATTCCACCTTAGGCAACAGATTAATACTTACTATAAGCATAACATTTCAACTTATAAATACACACTTTTTCGATAGATAAGTAAACAAGTAAATAAAACGTTCTATCGAATGAGTACACTGAAAATAAACAAAACTTATGTGTGTATAAATGCGTTCCATCCCAATTGATGCCCCAAATAAATGAAAAGGGAACAATTATGTCATGCCATTGTTGGTTAATTTAACCTCGTAATAAACATCAATATCCACTGAAAACCACATAACCACTTTGGTTGCTGCGTTCATAATAATGAGCAGTAAAAAACTGCTATTAATCACTGCTATTCTTATCAACAGCAAAGCTACGGTATTTCCACTGATGTATTATTAAGTTGCAAAATTCATTTTATAATATCCGGAGCAAATTATTCGAGTAATTGTTCATACGCTAACATTCAACTAATACATTTCTGTTCTGAAAAATTTTTAAAAGTATGATAAGAAGCAATCAGTGAAGTCGTTTGTATTTGAATGATATAAGACTGAGATTCGATATTATAGCAAGATCAAAAATTGTCTATGTTCACAATTCTATGAAATGATCCAATGCGATCGTAGGCACTGAAGCACTATTAGCACTGCACTAGTAAATGGATA